AAAAACCTCAGGGGGGGGCTCCTGAGGCCCCCCCCCGCCAGGAATAGGGTTAAGAGGTGCTAGCGTGGGACCATCAAAGGTATCGGTGTGGGTTCCCCAGAGGCAGTGGTGTGGGGCCCTCAGAGGCACTGGTGCAGGAACCACAAAGGAGCCCGTGTGGGCCCTCTAAGGTGCTGGTGTGAGGCCCTCACATGGACGTCGTTGTGGTGCCTCAGACACTGGTGTGGCGCTTAGCCCACACCATTCACAGATGGCTGTGTGTGGGGCCCTTGGAGTTGTTGGTGCGAAATGCGAATGCTTAATAACCCAGTAGGACCTCTCAGAGACCGACAAAGGGCCCTCAGAGGCCGGTAACAGGCCGTATGATGTCAACAATGGGCCTTCACAGGCCGGCAAGTGTCTTCAGGAGCCCTGTGGAATCCTTAAGAGATCGGCATGGTACTCTCAGACGCCGGTGGGGCCCTCATAGTCACCGGTGTAGGACCTACAGAGTTACCGGTGGCTGGCTACCAGAGGCACTGGTGTGGGGCCCCAGAGGCGCCGGTGTGGGACCCTGAGAGTCGCCGATGTGGGCCTCAGGAGACACTGGTGTCTCAGAGGTGGCGGTGTAAGGCCCTCAGACGCGTCTGTGTGGTGCCCTCACAGTCGCCGGTGAAGACTTTCAAAGGCATCGTTGTGGGAGTCCTCACTCCTCAGAGACACATGCATGGGGGCAAGGGGTCTTCAAGAGACCAGCAAGGGCCAGCAGAGGGTTTCAGGAGCCTTGCGGGATTCTGGAGACCGGCGTGGTACTCTCAGGCGTCACTGGGAGCCCTCAGACTCACCAGTGTGGGGCCCACAGAGTGCAGGTAGGTAGCCGTCAGATGCGCCTGTGAAAGACCTTCAGAGGCGCCAGTGTGGGGCCCTCAGAGCCGCCGCCGACGTAGGGCCTTAAGAAATATTGGTGTTAGTCCCTCAGATTGGCGGTGTTGGGCCCTCAAAGGCGCCGGTGTAAGACCCTCACAGGCGCCGTTATGGGCCCTCAGAGACACTGGTGTGGAACTGTGGAGCCGTTCCATGCGGGTATGGGCCAGGACCCTAATTAGAGCTGACGCTTAATAGGTCAGCAAGGTCACTCAGAGGCCAGCACAGGGCCCTCAGAAGCCGGAGTGGGGCCCTTATGGAGATGTGTGATGTGTGATGTGACTCAGGAGCCCGTGACTCTGTGAGGTGCCCTCACGAGGCCTGCGGGTCTTATCTCAGTCGAAATAAGGCACGCTTGGACCCTGAGCGGCCAATTGGCACTGCAGGGTCTCTCGGGCCCATAGGGCACCATGCATCTAATGAGGCGGCACGCGCCCCTTGTGCCCCCCCCCCCCGGTTACGCTACACTGGCTGCGGCCATACAGGTAAATCATATTCTAACCATCCCTATTCCCAAGCATAGGCGGCGGCCGATTCCTGCATGATTTGCGCAATATGAGTGCCATCGTTAGACAATACGGTCAAAAGGGTTGAAGCGGCATGACTCCCTGTGGTTAGAACTAAGAAGCAGCATATTTTTAGACAAAATAAAGCAATGACAACTAAATTGAGGTTACTAAAACCAGTGGCGCGGGAACCGGGAGGGGGGACTAGCGGGGGCTGAGCCCCCCAGCCGAAAAGCTGGGGGGGGCTCGTAATGTATTTGAGCCTCCCCCCCCCCCAGCTGGAGGAATCGAAATCGGAAATCTACCAACATACCTAATTTCATAGATTCATACATAGGCGCGGGAACCGGGGGAGGGGGCAATGGGGGAAGCTTGCCCCCACAATTCTGCGGCCGTGGGGGCGGTCCACACAACTTTTCATGAGGCCAGGAACCGTTGGGCAGCTTGTCCTTCCCAAATTAGGGGTTGTGGGTCACATAGGAAGAAAGCATGTAAGTGAAAAATCCACCTCTTTCACTGGCTCGGCAACTCATTTGACAGATTAAAACCTTTACTCCAGGTTGCCAGAACGGTAGTTTCTTCACTCAGCTGAGACGGAATGACTCACTTTTTGCATTTTTTCGTTTTTTTTTGTTGTTGTTGTTGAAAAGACCAAAGTCTGAAAAATAAGTGGCCTAAAACCGGTGAGAAAACTAGATTTGGGGGTACCCTAGGTTGATCTCTATTATGGTTCAGCCCCCCCAGTCTGGAAGAAGTTCTCGCGCCGCTGACTAAAACGACTCTGATCACAAAAGTAGTTACTAGGAAGGCTTTCTAAACCATTTTTATTTAGTTCCTCGTTATAGGCGTAAGAAGTGTAAGTCTGAACGGGGGGGGCATACTTGTACTGAATGCCCTCCCCAGGCTCCTGTCGGGGGGGGCATATGCCCCTAATGCCCCCCCCTGGATCCGCCAGTGAGGTCCTATGTCGGCTCGCATTAGCCGCGCGTTTGCAGTCTTTTCGTGGTTCCAAGCATTCAAAAATGTGATATGATGTTGGTACTATGCATTAGGTTGGGTGTCAAGGTCACCTGAAGGTCAGATCAGGTCATTGACCTATGATGCCTCGGTTCACTTTTTAGAGTTTTACATGTTTCTGTAGGCTAGTTTTTGGAGCTGAATTCGAATTTAGCAACCATATGAACATTTACGAAGTAGTTTTGGTGCCTTCGTAACATGTTACGAAGCTGTCAGAGGCGGTTGACACCTACTACAAATGTACTCGGCAGGACCTCTACTGGTTGACCTGACCTGACCTGACCTGACCCGACCTTGTCTAAATGCATAAAGACATCATCTGTGAATTGTGATCAAAACTTGAACATGATATTCGTGATCAGCACCCCGTAAAACCCCATAACAGCTACCCTTTACGACGCTCTAATGGGTCCCGATTTTCCCAACTTTTGGGTCATTGACCTGAGCAGTAAAGTAATCTTGATTGACCTGACCTGGAAGGTCAACCAATGAGTAATGACATAGGACCTTAATGTTGGGTACCGCGACTGGTGAGTCGCGCCAATGTGTCGTCGCGCACCACCAGGGCGGTCAGTGACGGTCTGCTGGAGCTGCCGCGTGCACGCACCGAGCTTGCCAGACGCTCTTTTTACCACCGGGCGGTGAGAGCGTGGAATTGCCTGAACCCCGAGATCAGAGCATCACCAAATATGACTGCTTTTAAGAAAGGTATGTCGACTGCGCACTTACTGTCATGCTAGGTACATGTTTCTGTGTGTTAAAGGTAGACTGCCACCTTTTTTCCACAAAACGGTTTTCACTAGAGCTGAGCCACCTATGTCCCAGACTGAAGTCGGTTTTCCGAAATTCGAACCCGTTTGCGAGAAATCGGAGACCAAAGTTCAGTTTGATGCCATTTTTTTAGTCCAAGAAAACCGACATCTCTACTGTTTATCGATAACTTTGAAACATTAATTTTCTTATCTTTTGGTAAATATATGTCAAAACTTTGATTGTTTCGAGATCAGAGAAGAATTTTTGAGTGTCAAAATAAAAGTTAAACTTATATATTCAGTAGTTCATTTTTTTCCAAAAAAGTGTGGGAAATGGGGTTTAACATGGGCCAGACCCATTCCAAATGAGCCATGATTTTTAAATGTTTTACGAACTTAAATGCAAAATAAATTAAACATGGCCAATTTCTTATGAAATCATATATTAGTAAATCATAAAATACCTTACTTTTTCAAATAAAATGTAATAATCTTATGACCTTGAAGTCTAGTGATGTGTAAACATTGTCGCTAGACATTAACCGATTGATAATTGTATGATAATCGACAATTTTTTTCGCGATTCACGTGATGATACTTTATCAGGTGAATTCTAAAATTTTGTTTTGTCCAGGGAATAAATCATAGGCCGATCTGAGAAAACTTTTTGAAGGTGGCAGTCTTCCTTTAATCTGTGTGTCTTTCTTTGTCGCTTTTATTGTCAGATGACGTGGATTGCTGAAAAACCATTTTATGGATGTTGTCCGAAATACATGATGATGATGATGATGATTCATCGGATTCCTTTCGTGACGGGCAACACGCTCTTTTTTTCCGCGAAGCTCTAGCTCGATCAGGGGCGAAATGGCAAGGTGGGGTCCAACGGACCCCCCCCCCCTTATACGTTCGCGGCTGGGAAAAAGCACCAATACGGGCGAGGGCTAACATACGATCAAGTTCCGAGGCAGTCGGATACCGACACCGCACAAAGTCTCAGCAAATCAGTAGTAATCAAACAAAGCTCCAGTTCTTAATGGTCCTCCAATAGCTATACATTCTGAGCACGATCCCATCGTATCAATCATTCATCAATGCACAGTGCACACGTCATGTCATGGGCGATACTCAGTCAGAAGTACACCAGATCCGGCCGTTTTCCTCACCACTTCCTCTAGCTGCGGCTGACCGGGGAATTCACTATAAGGGCGGATGCATCAGTTCAGCTGTCGAAAGCCAGTATCTCTTTGGTCAGTGGTCATGGGGAGAAATCGTTTTGTCATGGATTATAACTTGTGGGGAGTAATCGTTTTGTCATTAATTATAGTTTACGGCAAATCAGATGTCTCACTGTCATAGTCAACCAGATAACTTTAAAAATAGGTAAGCACTACGCATGATATTAAACACTACGGATGATATTAGATCAAACGTAGTGCATAATCCCTGACGAAATGTTGAGAATCGTACCGGATTAGACGTTGAGAACGATACTTTCATGGCTCAACGTTGACGATTTTGCTGGATCCTTTATCACATAAGGCTCAACAGCCACTGTGGAATGCTGGCATCGCCGCTGCGCTCGGCACTACACATCCGCACCCGTAGTATTATGTAAACAGAACCGGAATAAACAATCACTCAGCCGTATCGGCGGCCCTTGACAAGGAAAAACGAGCGAATCTCGCTCAGCACTGCACTAACAATTGCACGAGCCGTCCGGTGAGCACGTAATAATAAAGCAGCCTTTCTCACACCCGTCAGTGTCGGTGAGATCAGCACAGCACTGTCCCGTTTGGTCCCTGTTCGGACACTGTCGGTCGGGCTAGGACCAGGTCACCGGTCCGGGTGGCTCTCCGTCCGTTCGGCCAATCTCCTGGGCGGCCGTAGGCGCGGCAGAGGTGCCGGCGTCGCCAGCCAAGCCCGCTGATGCTGCTGCCGGCGGCATGGTGTCCTGCTGTGTCCACGAGGGCACACCGCCGGCCTGTAACATGGCCTCGGAGTAGGAGGGCGGCAGGTCGCCCGCCGGCGGCGCGGAGGGCGCTGTATCCCGCCGCCGTCCGTTGGAGGCCGGTCCGCGCTGGGGATGGTGCTGAGGCTGGTGCTGAGGATGGTGCTGAGGGTGGTGCTGGGGGTGGGTCTGAGGGTGGGTCTGAGGGTGGCGCTGGCCGCCCGGGCGGTGCGCCGTCAGCTGAACGACCTCCTCCGTCGGCGGCGGATCCGGTGGCTCCGGCTGCTGCTCCTGTCTGCTGTCCCTGAGATAGCAGCAGCAGCGTAAGCACATGATCGCCACCAACACCGTCACGACCAGAAACCAAATCACCTCGAGCCCCATGCTGCCGCCGCTGGGGCTGCGGCCGGCTGCGGCTCGGCCCGGCGGCCACTACGCGCGCGCGCGCGACACGCCCCCGCGCCGATCCAGACGGCAGACAGGTCCCTCCGCCGGCAGTTTCCGGACAGGTGCGGCCGTGAAAGTGGTCTCAGGTCGTGCGCTGACCGCTTCACACACCTTCCACACCCGGGCCGCTCACTCTGCCACGCCCACAGCACACTCGCGCAGTGCGATTCCAGGAGCAGAGAGCCGTGGCGCGTGACACTGTCTCGCGTCCCCTCGTCGGGCCTGGACGGCCTTGGCGCTGCGTTGCAGCCCGCAGTGCAGGGGGAGGAGCCAGACCACTGTGACGTCACGCGCCCGCCCGCTATGGTTGGAATAGTTGCACGCGGCTAGCCATGGCCTTCATGCAATGAGCGGAATTGGAGCGACGCTAGCGTGATCGACACCACGGCGTCGAGCCGTCGCAGCTCCAGCAGCGGCAGGCGGCAAAGCTAGCGGCTCCGATTGGGCTACATGCCTACTGTAAGACAGCTTCATGCTGCAGCTGTTGTTGCCACTTGCTGCTGTTGTTGATGTCCCTCGGCTCCACTCAGCATAGGTCGAACGGCTTTGGAGGGACCCGGAAGTGGTATAAGTCAGGCCGACCAACACATCGCCGTCTCGCAGGTCCCCCGCAGCTCGCGCTGCCTGCGCGGTGCGCGCTTCGATACTAATCGATACTTGCAACTTTCATCAGCTTACGTCGACGGTCGAGCTTAACTCTTCTAAGGTAGAGGTAAGCAATGATTGCTCATTCCGCCTTTGTCTGCAAATACTTTGTGAAATCTCAAATATGGGTTATCAGAATTCGGAAACGTGAATTACGAGCGGGACCCATAGGCCGAGTGGCCTTATAACCCGATGACCAACTAAGGTAAGGTAAGGTAAGGTGAATGACACTGGTCGGTTTTAGAGGTAGGGTAGCCTGGGGCAAGACGCCCCAGATAATTTATTTTGCTACATAACTTTTGTCCCACATCACCTGGAAGGCCAAATTTGTGCTCAATGCGTTCTTTGGACATTTTACTTTAAATTCCACCCCTCAAATTCATTCACTTATGATCGGACTCCCAGCTAGGAAGTGATTTGTGAAGCAACTGCAAATGGGGCATTTTGCCCCAACCCCAGGGCAAAACGCCCCACGGCCTGGGGCAAGACGCCCCATACTCTAGATTAAAGATTGAACATGCTAGTTGACTAAATCTTATATGAGAGGCCCGTTAGACCTTGGGAGGCACGGCACTGAAGTTAGCACCTTCCATCCTGTCAGGTGTTCAGCTATGACACTATTGTATGTACATGTTTTTCACCTGCCTCATAAGGCCAAATAATAAATTATTGCAATGCAAATGTTAACAAAATACTTCCTTTGTCATTAATTTGCTGAGAAAGGTACATAAAATTGCATAGAAACTTACTGTTCGCCAGCAACCGAACATTAGGAAGTGGGTAGTCGGAACAACACATGAGGTAAAACGCCCCATGGGGCTTTTTGCCCCGCGACCTACTGGGGCGTTTTACCCCATCACGTAGTTTGGTCAGAGAACAACGCCTTGCACTCCAGCAAGGCATAATTTAAAACGGACCAACCCAGCATTATAAGCGTTAGACAATAGTTGTTCAAAATACATAAAAGTCGTTAACCTGATGTGAACCATAAAAGAACGCCATGATGCATAATCTGACTACAAAACATAAAAATCACTCCAAAAACAAATTTCTGGCTATATCTTCCTAAAGAGTTATCACAATATCTTTCCAGTCTGCTCATATAATGATCATATAGTGCACGTTTTAAAGAAGAGAGAATGTTTCCCCAGAACCTTGCCAGTTCCGAGAAACATCGGTGAGGCGTTTTACCTCGGCGGGGCGACTTGCCCCGGTCTACCCTAGGTAAAAACCTGATGTAGCTCTATGACTGCACAGTGCACGGAGAGTAAAGCGGGTGCAGCGTTAAGTGATCATACTGACTGAAACAGTATCTTCTGCTCTCCATTGTACAGTGCACAGCACACACACACACTCCACTTGCAGAGTGCAACAGCTGCACACTGCAGTTGCAGTGTATGCTGCATCGCAAGATTCCTTTACTACTGCCCACTATTTTCGCTGAAAAATACTTTACTGATGAATATGGAAGCTTTATTTGGAAGCAAAAATTTAGGACAAAAAAGACGCAACTGCTTCAATCTTCAGGTTCAGTTCCAGTCTCAACCAGTCCAGTCCCGTGTAGAATCCTGTTTCACTTTGACTTAGAATGTTTGTTATTTGTTTTTTGGAGAATGAAAATGAAAATTTGAATTATATTCCAATGAGCCTTCCATAACATAACTATCACAAACCACTAGGCATTGTTGTTGTGCTTGTGTCAACGTTGATGCGGCCTTTGCTTTGCCGGTATGGTTTGGGTCGTTTGGGTTGAGGTACCTATTATGTAACACATTTTGATTTGCTGGTAGCAGTAGGTCCGATTAGAATTCAACTAATCAAAATTGTCAATATTGTAAATGTACATAATCTGTTTGTTTCACGATCAAGTCAGTGGGGTGTGATCAATAGTTCTTCCTTTTCTTGAATTAAGGGCAGTCATTGTACTTTTTTGTTTTGGGGGATAAGTAACTTGTTGAAAATTTCCTAGGTTAGTTAATTGCTCCTGAACTTATGACCCATTTTGTATCTAATTAAGAGTGGTATGCTACAGGTGGTTTTAACCGTTTTTCGTAATCTTAAAGGGATCCTCCCACCTTAACATTAGTTTTGAGTTGAGATAGCCAAGTTTGCGGCCAGGCTCAGAAACCACCATTTATCCTGGTCGCAACCCCCGCAGCTTTATGGTGTTCAAGAAATTTCTTTCCTTTACTTGCAGGGTGGGACCAGCGTGGCCCCTATCTCTTAACCATTACGGGAATCTGATGAGTCATCAGGCTTTCGAACGTCCGTTAAATGTTTGACTAAATGTTTGACTAAAACGTTTTGTAGCACGCGGTGGTATATGCTGCTTTGCGCGCAACAAATGCCGCACTTTCAAATAAAGTCGCTAGGAACAGCGGAGATCCCAAAAAGTAAACAAAAGTAAAAGTCTAATATCTTGAAAACCGGTGAATATTTTTTTATGAAATTTGGTAGATATTCGTTTTTGCTCTTTCTGAACCGAGCGACATCACTTTCATGCCAATTCATTAACTTTTTTGAAGGTGGGAGGGTCCCTTTAAATCTAGCATAAGGTGAAAATATTACAATCCAGAAACATGATTGTCAAACAGTCACTCAAACCAATGGTATTAGCAGTGGCGCAGCCAGGGGGGTGAAAGGGGTGAGATTTCACCCCCGTCTCTTATCCAAGGGGCCCACCGTCGATTCGAACTGTAACGTTATGCAGCCTGACAATTTTTTATTACTAATGTCAAGGTCCGTCATAGGACTGAAAAACAGTTTTCAGGCTTGATAGCCCCCCCCCCCTTTAGGATTTATAGTCCCATTTTATGATCTAAGGGGGTACATCCAAGGCCCGATTAAACTAATCCAAGGCCTAGGAGGGCCCGTTCTATGGCATGAGAGGGCCATTTCAGGCCTGAGAGGGCCCATTTCAGGTCTGTGAGGGCCCATTTCAGGCCTGAAGGGGCCCAGTTGAAGCTTGAGAGGGCCCATCTCAAGCCCTAGAGGGCCTGTTTGAGGCTTGAGAGGGGCCCATTTCAGGCCTGAGAGGGCCCATTTGATGCCTGTGAGGGCCCATTTCAGGCTTGAAGGGGTCCATTTCAGGCCCTAGAGGGCATGTTTGAGGCCTGATAGGGCCCATTTCAGGCCTGGGAGGGGCCCATTTCAGGCCTGAGAGGGTCCCATTTCAGGCCTGAGGGGGCCATTTCAAGCTTGAGAGGGCCCATTTCATGCCCTAGAGGGCCTGTTTGAGGCCAGAGAGGGCCCGTTTGAGGCCTCAGAGGGGCCCATTTCAGGCATAAGAGGCACCATTTCAGACCTGAGAGGGCCCAGTTACGGTATGAGGGGACCCTTTTTCGACATAATAGGGACCATTTCCGGGCTGAGGGGGCCATTTCAGGTCTGAGAGGGCCCATTTCAGGTCTGAGAGGGCTAATGTCAGGCCTGAGAGGGCCCATTTCAGGCCCTTGAGGTCCTATTTGAGGCCTGAGAGGGGCCCATTTGAGGTCTGAGAGGGCTAATGTCAGGCCTGAGAGGGCCCATTTCAGGCCCTAGAGGACCTATTTGAGGCCTGAGAGGGTCCACTTCAGGCCTGAGAGGGGCCCATTTCAGGTCTGAGAGGACCCAGTTCAGGCCTGAGAAGACTCATCCCAGGAATGAAATGATCATCCTATGTGTGGGAGGGTCCGTACTCCGTGCCTGGTCTGGGTCTGAGAGGACCTATCCCAATCCTGATTGAGCCGATATCATGCTTGATAAAGGTCAACTCACCACATGTATATTGATGGCCCAGTTCATGTCTAATGGGCCCATCTCAAGACTCAGACATTTTATGCTTCAAGAAGCCTACCCCAAGCGTGAGGGGGCCCATAGAGGTTTTTGAGCCTCATGGAGGTCCCGCAGTACGATATGTCAGCCTCTGAGAAAGCCATGCAGGGCCCTTAACCCGCGCCCCAGTGGCGGTCTCCGCCAACTTCGCCCTAGTGAGGGGGGGCATATGTTACCACCCACCTCTAACTCAAAAACTAAGAGGGCTAGAAAGACGCGGTAAAAAGCAGTCGATAGCTCTTGATGCGTACTTTTGAAAGCATTTCGGTCATTTTTCATCTTAGAGCAATATTGGGGTCACCAGAGGTCATCAAAGGTCAAAATTTGCGAATTGTCATTATATTTTTCAGAAAACATGCCATTATCTCAGGAACTATGATAGCTAGAAAAACGCTGGGAAAAGCAATCGATAGCTTTTGAACTCTTCTTTTGATAAGGTCATTATCAAAAATGACCTCAGGTCAACGGTTTAGCCTCCAGAGGGCAAAAACTCCAAAAATAGCTGTTTTTAAGAAAAGTGTTTTTCGACAAATAACTTTTGACTACAAAAAGCTAGGTCATTTCTAATGCCAGAGTCGTGTTTCTCTCGCCGAGACGCGTCGAATGAACTATAATTTGACCTTGAAAGGTCAACTTCAAAATTTGACCTCAGGTCAAGGTCATGACCTGACCGGAAAAGGTCATGTTGCATATCAGTCGATGCGTCTTGGCAAGACAAACACAATGAGGCCAACCCCAGCGTTCTATCTCTTTCCAATCGAGAGTTATTGGCAAAAAACTGTTTGTAACCTCAAATGACCTCGGATGACCTTTCAAGAGGCTATCAGCAAAAAAGACACCTTGGTCGTCACGGGTGGTCCAAATCATTGTTATCCTGAAATATTTGGACTGTTCCTATGCGTACACACGGATCTAGAGGCATTTTCGTTTTTCTCCATTGACTTATAATGGAAAGGTCACGCCACTGACCTGACCTTAGGTCACGCATATAAAAAATCCGTGATATACAAATTGTAGGCACCCATAACTTCATGTAATCCACCAAGTTTGAAACCTCTCTGACAAACACTGCAGGCTGGACATGATTGCAAACTTTTTTTTAGGCGTGGTCAGTTAACTTGACCTAGTGACCTGACCTGACATGACCTGGGGTCAAAACTTTCACACATTGTCCAAAATTGATGTACCAAAAGCTACCCCAAGCGGCGCGGCGCTACGCGCCGCGGTTTTTTATTTATACGAAAAAAACGCGACAGGGTGGTAACATATGCCCCCCCCCACTGGGGCGAAGGTTAAGATGCCAAGCCGACATCTGAAAATTCCTCTTCTCTTCAGGCCTGTGCCTGCCTCACCGCCCGGCCCCACCCTGACGTCTAGGGGTTTGACGCCAGTCGCAAGGTATTCATCAGGACTCCACACCGGTCCATGATGGCTCCAAACTGACACCTGAGGCTCCTGCACTGGTTTTTAAGGGGCCCACCGACCTCTGATAGCCACCACGCAGGTCTCAAAAGACCATGTCGATTGTTGATATCTAAACCCCCAAGTCTTGGAAGGCCTGTGCTCTATGCAGATTCTTGAGGGCTTTACGTGGCTTGTAAACATCCCGAACTGGCTCTAGCCTAGCTCGACCGCGCCCCGCAGAGCAGGGCCCCAGGCTTTCCAGTTTTACGCCCCTGAGGGGTGTTTGAATATTCCCTTCTAACCTGACTCCAGGGTCACGTAGCGACAAGTACGGCGGTAGGCGGCTTTCTAAAGAGCGTCGAAAATCATGGAGAAATTACTTCAGTCATGTTGCAGTTCAGACCAAAACCCACGTCATCATGTTCATCGAAGGAAAAGTTTCGCCTATTTCGACACTCGAGGACATATGAAGCTATAGCGCGCTGAAAGTGGGTTCGATAGCTCTCTAACGCGTGCAATCAGCCATGGGGGGGGGGGCGTATCGGCCAAACCCGATCATAATTTAACCCTCGCCGGCCGAGGGGGGGGGGGGGGCGGGTGCCGCCCCCCATAGGGTTTTTTTCGCGATAGCTTCGAACACGCTGACGATAGAGAGCTGAAACTTGGCATACCTGACCTTTGATTCAAGCCGGATCTTTCGACACCAACTGCATTTTTGGATCAGGTCAGGTCACTGACCTATGACGTCATAAGTGAACCTTTGCACGGTCTTCAGATGTCGCAACTTCGCAACGCCCTCACTGCCAGAGGAGATGTCACAGGAAAATGAGACTTGCAGGATCTAGTATACATTATGAGTCTCACAACCTGTATATCTCGGGTTTTTCCTAAAGGTCATATGAGGTCAGGTCATTTTCGTGACCTCACCATTATAAGTCAATGGGGAAAAATGAAAAGTGCTATTCTGGTGCCAGATTAGTTTTTCGTTAATAACTCCCGATCGAATTGAGCTAGCGAGTCGAGAAAGCCACCAATGGACTCAGGAAGACCTGTCGAATCGAATGATATGCGACCTGACCTCTTTCGGCCAACTTCGTGACCTGGGGGTGCTGACCTGACATTGACCTGAGGTCAACACCCCAAGTTGACCTGACCCTGACAAAAAGTATATCATTCGACGCGCCTGAGCGAGGCGAACACCATGCTGCCAAAATCGCGGCTCTGCGGCCGTTTTTTGCGAAGTTATTCACCAAAAACTGAACCGTACCTTCGGGCACTTGACCTGACCTAAGAGGTCACCGGTTGACCTTGGACCTTAAAATCGGGTACTAATCTCTGCGTCTCGTAACGGCGCACACGCTCGTTTTTCCGCGACGCCCTAGCTCCACCAGGGACGAAACGGCGAGGGGGTCGCACCCGCCCCCCCCCCCCTCGGCCGGCGCGTATGTAGAAAACCAATAGGTCCGGCGAGGGTTAAGAAGGCTAGAAAGACGAGAAAAGCAACAGATAGCTGTAGGATGCTTCAGAATCGTAGAAGTCATTTTTCGATTAGGTTATCGCTGAGGTCCTTGAAGATGAAATTATGATAAAATTATGATAAACACAAAGACAAGATTACGACGAAAAAATTATTATTTTTATATTTTCACAAATAACCGTATAACTCGTGAACCAAAGAGCTAGAGCTTCGCGGAACAACTCATTCGATTGGCCTTTCAAAACGCTTTCGCTTTTTAGATTTGACCTCAATGCCTCATGTCAATGGTTTGGCAACAGAGCAGAGGGCAAAACCATCTAAATAGTCGCATTTTACCGAAATAGTTTTGCTAAGAATTTTTGCAAGAACTTTGGTGAGAAAAATTATGAGACATTTACTTTGTCATCATTCTCTCGTTAACATGCATCGAATGTTAACACCTATACCTAATTTCACATAAAAAGTTCAACTTCAAAATGTGACCGCAGATCAAGACCTTTACTTGAGCCTTACTTGAGAAGTTCATGATGGTCATCAACTGATCCGTATGGATGATTAACACCTTCAAGACAATTTTATTACTCTACCTCTCCTATATCAAAAGTAATAGTCGAAAAACTGATGTTGAGCTTTTTTAAAAGCTTTTTGACCTAGCCCGACCATTTGAGTGGCCGCTCGCCATCAATTGCACGCTGTCCATCAAATTTGGGCAGAATGGTCGTGTTTCTGTAAATATGCTGTTGTTTTTTACGTGCCTCTTCAGATCAAGAGATATTTGTCCTTTTCCCCGATTTGGCTGGTAATGATCAGGATAATGATCTGACATTTCGTTGTTGGTAAGGGGCCCCCATTAGGTTGAGGGGGGGGGGGGCACTTTGCTGGGGGGCCTATCGCGAACGTCTCTCGCCCCCGTCGCCAGAGTTCTGGCTGCGCCACTGGGTATTAGTTAATAGTTTGCTAGATTATCTTTTGATTTATATCATATTTTAATTAATTTGTTGATAATTAATTAACTGATAATTAATTTTTTGATAATTTGTTTATAATGATGATTAATTTGTTTGATATATGGTTTGTTACAATATGGTGTGGCTTTAATTCAACTTTGAGCCCAGGGTGCAAAAGGCGACTTTCACACCTTATTGTTATCAACGATTGTTTCCCTTTATTCAGATGTGGCAGAACAGTTATACAATTCAATTCTATGAGTGTGCAGGATGAAAGGGGTACAAATGCTGCAGTTTGAACTCACTTTTTCATTTTTTATCAGTCAAATTTTATTAAGGAAAGATATCTATTCTTTTTACATTTAGCAATATCAGGTTTTCTCATCATTGACATTTGAAATAAGTAACTCACTAAATAGTTAATAGATAAGAGCAAAATCAGATAGCTGAGACTCATGATCTACCTAGCCTGCCTGCACCAGCTATTGAGAAAGTTTCATTGATGCATTTTGATCAGTAAGTTACAGGCCAGAACTTAAGCTGTCAACAATGAAATGTGTATTGAAGCTTCTTTTTTTCTGGGATTTTCTTGGCCTGTGTCAATAGCGGTACTGTGCAATCATTGCACTGTGTGTACAAATGTAGGCATGTGTATCTCTATTTGCTTTTACTCATGTATTTGACTTGTTTCTCACCCCTCAGAAACCATGCCAAACCAGAAGGAGGATAAAGGAGCTGTGAAGAAAGGCACTAAGAGAAAATCAAAAGATGATTCAAATGCAGGGCCAGAATCAAAACAAAGCAAGGAATCCACTGCTTCAAGCAGTACAGTGTCGAGAAGGAAAGATGGGACGCTGGATTTTCCCGACCATCCCCGGTTTAGACCGAACCGAACTCCGAAGGAAGTGCTGCAGGCGGGCAGCTTTGGTGGAACGTACTTCCGTCCAATCAAATCCGGCGTGACTGGTACGTATGTGTGCATGCATGCATAGCGCATGGTTCCCCCATTCATGCTGAGTATGCATCATACTGTGGACAGTCGTGTTTCAATAGAATGCGTTGATAAATGTGTTCTTGAATATCCCGACAGTCGTATGTCGGAACAGTGACGATGGCACTAGTTACGTGTCCCACACCCTCATGTCTGGCCGCTCACCGCTCTGGACGGCTGTATGTTCACAGGCGAGTCCTACAAGGACGTGTGGAAGGAGCTGCCACAGGACTGGCTGGAGGGCCTCAACATCAAGCGGCAGGTGGCTTCCAGCATCTATGATGAGTCGGTGAACAAGTACGGCAAAAAGTGCGGCGGTAGCCTGGAGATGTGGGAGCAGTCGGGATGGATCGTCAAACAGGACCCCTACGGCTGGTTCCAGTGGTACTGCAGGTCAGTCTCTGACGATTTATCTTTCCTCATATGGTTCCTTCAAGAATTACTGTAGGTGAAGCTTGTTCACGCATTTGCAGCTGAACCCAACCTACTATCGAGCGAACTTTGATACAGCTACTTACTGTGTACTGCTTGGACATTTCACTGCTTTCTGATATGACCTGGCAAGCTACTGCCAGCATCCTGCGTGCCGCACTGTACTCTGTAGTGACTGACGGCTGTTCGCGTCTGCGGCAGGTTCTACCAGGGACGCCGGACAGAGGACGACGAGCGGCAGATCGGCCGCTGGGACCGCTGTGCCGGCGAGAAAGGACGCTGGAAAAACAACCTCATCGGAAAGGTGAGTTAAAACGGGCCGGGGGCGGGCTAGCCAGAACGGATCAGGAGGGGGCTAGCTAGAACGGATCGTGGGAGAGCTGGCCAAAACAAATACAACCTCAGGCTTTGAATGATTACGATATAATATGCAATATAATAAACGATATATGCGATATAACCTCACCTTGAATATATGCGATCGGTTGGAATAGCAATCGTATTAGAGTGGTTTAGGGTGATATGACTGAATGGTATGCTGTGCGGGATCAGCTAACCCCGTAGCTGCCCCACTAACGACAGACCGCCCTGCCCTACCACAGGTGGTCCGGAGCGGCTGTGCGTTCGACAACCCCGCCGTGTCCCCGGTGGTTCGCCAGACGCTGCTCCACTGGGGCTACGAGCTCACCGAGCATGACTACAAGATCGGCGCCAAGCGAGTCAAAAAGTGAGTCCCCGTGGCGCACAGTGGCCGCCGCGCTGGCGAGTGAAGACGGGGATGACCGATCTCGGCTGTCAGGTCCCTGAGCAGTGGGCAGCTATCAGCTGATGTTGCCAACTGTCAGATGCCAAGTCTGATGGCCTTTCAGTGGTCGTTTGGCACTGCTGACACATCCCCTTGTTAGACACAGCTGTGTTTGGATGTCTGTAACCCATACCTGAGGGAAACTGACTTCAGCATGGGTCTGTGTCGAGACATTTTGACACACTTTGACACCGCTCATTCGCGAGCACTGAGTAGTCTGTTTTCATTATCGTTATTATTTAACGACACATCAGTCATTCACCAGCTATTCTGCTTTTCGACGTCGATCTTGTTTTTTTTTATCCTGAAGAGCGGCTGTGCCCGAACTAGCACAGTATGCATGTTTTTGCTTTTAATGTCCCAAATATTAAAGAGGATAAGTAAGAAGAAGTGAAATTTTAGTGTCACTGTCTCATTGAGCGATGTCAGGAACCACGTCATCACCAATTCTTCGGTCACTACTCGACTATGGTGGCTTTTCCACCACTTCATGGAGACTGGAGAGGATACTCGACTGTCTTCTATTCTAACTTTCTTAGGATCTCAACGGATCTGTTCGTCGTATGTGATGTGGCCGAGTGATTCCCGGTCCAGCCCAGTTTTTTAGCCTTTTTACCAGGACATGATGTGAACTACCTCACAATAGGCGGCGGAGCATCTTGATGGATTTTTGTGGTTTGTTTGTCCTTACGTTATCGCAGAATGTAGTATATGATTTCTAATAAGTCGCCTAGACTCTACACTACACTGACTTTGATGGACTAGTCTTGCTTAGTCATCAATGGGATAGCGTTTGTTGCAAGTCACAATGCTCTTTTTCGTCTTGTCTTATGCAACTGAGACCATACACATTACACAGTCGCCTCCAGTCTTGTATTGTTTTATATGAATGTAAAAATACAATGCATTCATGTAACTATTTGCTTTGTTTGATAATGACAGAAAATGAACCATGACAGATCGGAACTAGCGAGTGGATGTGACCATGTATGATGAAGGAAGTTAATAACGGAAATTTCACCAACTTTTACACAACAATAGGTTCTAATTGTTATGGTATGGCATAGTTTGCATTGAATAGACCGTTATGTTGATTCATGAACGTTGGCTTTCATCGGGATTACAGGTGGTCTTTAAAGATTTCCATGACATTTCCTCCATGGGGAGGGCTTTTATTATCAATGCTAAATTTACACAGCCCCCTCCCCCCCCCCCTGATGGAAAAGGCCTCTAGGCGAAAGCTCTCTCGATTGCGATATTCACGGTAGGTGCCCGGCGGTACAGTATAACTTCAGGCGCACGCCACTAGCGCCATCTAGCGGATATACATATTGTAAGTGCGCTGCTTTTAGGGCGCGGCTGTAGCTGATGAGCAGCGCGGTATAAATTCAGGTGATAACTTTCAAAGATGTTTTGGCGGGTTTATCAAACCCGATTGATGATGATTCTTCATGGCTCCGAGTGGAAGATAAAGATATTATTTTCCAAGCGGGTTACTGAAAAACCGAGCGACGAAGGAGCGATGTTTTTTGTGGAACACGAGAGGATGAATATACAGTGTAGTATTGTAACGAGACTCTTCAACTTCAACCAAACGCATCTTGGTTTCTAGCTGTATTTCGCTTCCACTCTTCAAATGCCATTTGCCGCGCCTGACCCTACTCTATGAGTGACCACATTGACACGGGTAACCAACAAGGTCCATTCATTGACTGTGACCATGACCTAGTCGCATCGACAGCCGCAACGCGGCGTGGCAGAAACGCTTCTCTCCGCCGTACAGAACACAACACCAATCACGGCAGTACAGAGTCTCTGCCGGCCTCCTGAGGGCGCCCCTGGTCACCGGCACGAGAGGGCGCCCTTAGCCAGCGGCACAAGAGGGCGCCCCTAGCCACCGCCACCAGAGGACGCCCCTGGTCACCGACACCTGAGGGCGCCCCTAACTGCCGACGCCGTAGAACGCCCATGGCTGCCGGCATCTAAGAAAGCCCCTAGCCACAGGACGCCCTAGCCGCCAGGCGCGTCCTGTGCCGGCGCGGAGTCGGCCTCTGATACGGCCGACTGTACCCCCCTCCCCTCCCTCAGTGGACCATACCGCTGCTGGGCCACTCGTACGTGTTCAGCAGCGGACTCTCGTACGAGAAGTCGTACCGATGCGTCTCGATATAGGCGAGCAGGTCATCCGGGTGCGGGTACACGGACGCCTCCCCTGGGAACGGCGGACAGAGGTCAGAATCAGAGAGGGTCACAATAGATCACGTAGTGTGACGTAACGGTAGGTAACAGTAGTTCAGCTGAGATGTAGTATTGGGCACCGTGAGGTCTTGTCAGGCATTAGGCAATGCTCGTTTATACGTAAAAGTCGTAGAGATAGTTGCTGCAGTTCAGAGGAGGATAAAGGTGCACTCGCGTTGCGGAATGTTTCGCATCCGTGAAGACCAAAAAGTTTATGCTTGCATTTTATATCAATGTTGCATATGACATATGCTCCTATATCGAGACCTTGCCTAGTTGCCTCGCTGATAACTCAAAGTGTAGACTAAAATTGATCATGTGCAGATGAGGGTTACACCTTGTACGCGCTTATCGCAAACGCGATGCAAGTGTGTTACGGGCATCACATCACGTTCCACGAAAGGCTACGTTACCATTCCTTTCATTCAAAATTGCACGCATTTTGTGGTATGAATATCCGTGACAGGGTGCAACATCGATGCTAGAAGGCTGATAGCCGATAGGTATCTCGCAAGCTACTGAATTTCACTGCTGACTTGCCAGGACGTAGCAAAAACTTACCAATGGCACAGACAGTTTCGACTGTGCTGACAACACTAAACGCCACTGAACAAATATCAGATCAAAACAAAATCCACTGACTACAAATAAAAACGGCAGGAGATAGAGACAGAGAACTGGAGTTAGGTAAAGATCATGCTAAGGAAACAGGAAATGACTGCTTGAGGCATGCAAGGTAGCTGCAAAAACGCGCAAAAAGCGCACATTCCCAAACAGATGGCAGTACAAGCTAGTGGAGATGCGCACACACAAAGCACACGAAGCAGCCTCCGTTCGTGAGGGCCGCCGGCTCTACACTAGCCGACACGAGCTGACACAAGGGCGCTGCTGCACGGACCTCGCTGCGCCGTCGCCAGCTCAGACACTCGTCGGCCACGGGTAGACCTGCTCTAACGGGTTGGCGTAGTGATAGTCGTACAGCTGACTGCGCACAAAGGCGTTCAGATCGGCCGGCTGGGGGTAGGTGGACGCCTCGCCTGAAACACCGGCACACCGGCGCCGGGTGTGAGTCTAGGAATTGGGTCGGGTCGGGGTCTGGAGATCCCCGGTCGCCAGCGCCGCCTGTAGGACATATCCAGAGCCCGAGAGACCCACAGCCAGTCCCATGACACGCTACAGCCAAGCTCCCAGCAGCCCCGCGACAGCTCTACAGCTTCTCAAAGCTCCTCTACAGCTCACAAAGCCCAAGCAGCCCCAGCGATCTGTAGTCCTCAGCAGCCCCTCCACAGCTTTTTACAGCCACAGCAGTGTCCCCAGAAGCCCCAGCACCCTCATCTGTAAGCAAACAGTACCCGTCAGATGCAGCTCCCGCGACGGGGCTCGGCCCGCTGCTGAAGCAGATATTCCCAGCCAGGTGCCCAGCGGCACGGTGCGAGCAGCAGCCACGGCAGAGCCCAGTGTAAGACACACGGACATCCAGGGAACGGGAATGGTGTTTAGGGTGGAAATAAAGGCAATGATAAGAAAGTACGTCTTGCTAACAGCAACAACCCTCAATCATTGTCAGCTGGAGACCGCAACACTGGAAGATGACTCCTAAATCAAAGGGGAGTACTTTAAAATTATGACCAAACTAAAAAATAAATGAAAATATTAGTGGACAATTTCAGTCTGAGATAATTTTAATTTCGAAATAAAGAGTAGCATTATAATGAAACATTACAAGCCAAGGCTGCGCAGTACTTTATGCGTAACAAAACATCCTGTCCACTTAACCGGGACCACGTTCAAGCCCAGCTCCTCTCGCAGCGGATTATTCGGAGCCCCCAGAGTCGGCGCCGCGCCGGGCGGCCGCTGACTCGGGCTGCCGTTTATCGATTGGGCTAGAGTCGATCAGAGGGGTCGGGCCTGCAGGCGAAGCCGCTTCAGTGCAGGACACGCTACTGGCGCGGCACGCACGGGCGTTGTCCGTCCTTCCAGCACTTTATTACTGGGGGTCGCTGACAACTGCAACTGCAGCTCCTCAGTCAGTCGCAGCTCCGCAACAAAACTGCACATCTGTGTCTGATAGACATCTGAGCCCTGAGGTGTACTGCCTTCATTGTTAAACGATTTTCGGAACAGTTATGATGTTATCTCGTCTCATCCCGTTCTGTGTTTGAAAAAAAAAATGTATCTCTTATCTGCGTCCATTCCCAGCAAGAGCCTGGTGTGTGAGCTCTGACCTGCCAATGACCCCTTCTGTCACGCTCGCCCGTCATTTAGACGTGCTCTGCCAGCTTGGGGTGTGCCCCTGACCTGCCTATGACCCGGTCCGGTGTCCCCGTCACGCTCACCCGTCTTGTAGGCGTGCTCCGCCAGCTGTACGGCGATCTGTAGCGAAACATCGCGGATGTTCTCCAGTGGCGGGTACAGCCGGCCGGCGTCCAGCTCCTGGTCCGTCACCATCTTTGCCAGCGCCTGTCACACACAGACAGACATACAGTGACGGCCACGGGTCTAACTGGCCAGCGCATGTCTTCATGAGTTCACAACCATTGCATAAATTTATCGACGACACACAGACACACATCCAGCGACTGGTACGATGGGCCCGTGCCGCCCGCGCGGCCGTAAGTCACCGGCATCTGTCCCCCACATACTCACGAATACACAAACAAGCAGCGTAAACTCAAAGAAAGATATACGATGTACCTCATAGGCTGAAATCGCTCCTCGTCAACAATCAAGTGCGGCAGTATATTCCTAGCGGGGACTCGCGCATGCCCTGGAGCAGGATGGGTGACGTCCGTCGCCAGACATCCCGCTACTGACCTCAGCCGCTCGCAGGAAGACGTCCTCGCCAATGTGGTGCATGCCAGAGGCGATGACGCCGAGCGCCACGCCCGGGAAGATGTAGGCGTTGTTACCCTGGCCAGGGTACAGCGTCTTGCCGTTGATGGTCACCGGCGCGAACGGAGAGCCCGACGCGAACACGGCCCGACCCTGTCAGGCACACCGGGGGACGAGTTGTACTCAGCATGGGGAAGAGCTCGGTGGACAGCGATCCTTTCCAGCACACGTAGGGAGGGGGACTGGACACTCGAAGCAAAGCACTGATGGATTTCGCTGAGACATATGTGCGTTGGTAACGCGGAGAGCGGAACAACCGATCTGCTGGTGTCGTGCGCTCTCCTGTCCTGCAAGTCATCCTATTAAAAGTCATCCATTCTTCCCTCATCAGCGGTCTTCTCACCTGAGTGGCCTGATAGGCCTGCTCAGCAGTGCACTCTGCCATGCTGGTCGGGTTGCTCAGCGCGAAGATGATGGGCTCTTTGTTGTATTCGCCCATGTCCTTCAGGATCTCGGCGGTGAAGGCCTGCGGCTGGGCGGCCGCACCTGTGACAACAGCGCAAACACGAGTCACTCATAGCACCGGCAGGGTTAACTGAATTCACAGCACCTTCAAAGGCCAAGATACAGCACACAGTTGGTGAAACCGAACCACTTTTACCATGAGCGTAACGACTGGGCTGAGTCATATCGCTGGTTAAAAAAAAAAAATCGACGAAAACTTACCGATCAACGCCGAGGGCTTAAGTTTCTTGACGACATCTCCGAGGTTCTTCATGGGCTCCATGTCCTTGGCGTAGTCGACCTTGTGTCCGGTGACGCCTCCCTCGGGCCGGTTCTTGACGATCAGACCGCGAGAGTCCACCATGAATATTTTGTCGTGGGCGGCCTGCGAGCTGAGGCCCTCCTGCTCCATCGCCATCACACACAGGTTGGCGATACCGAGCGATGCCTGGCGGTATGGAGATGCAGCGTAAGAGTCAGAGGGTGTCAGAGGAGGTTGACAGTCACACTCACATAATTGCGAGTAAGTTGGCTGTGTACTTTTCCATCAAATTTTAAAGACATTTATTATCGTGTTGAAACTGATTGGCCAGCTGAATTCAATTGTATTTAGGTGTTACCTGAATCGGGTGAAGTGAAAACTGGCAGTGCACATCTAGCCATATGCAAGAGGGTTTACAACTTCACCATCGGCACAGCATATCATCGAATGATCCGCAGGTATGCAGTCGGTGACACCGGAGCCCGTCAGTTCTGACTCAGTGTCGCTGACTGTCGACGGCGCGCCCCTAACTCCCAACAAACAAACAAACATCGCTAACTGGCGATTTCATCAGGCCCAAACGACCGTTAGTTCGACGAACCGGACTGTGATTCCAGCAGCGGTTCCTTCTGATTCTGCCATCGGCTCTAAAAATAAACAACCCCAGCGGCTGGCGCCGGGCCGTGCACCGTTTCTCGGTACACAACCTAAACCCGACAGGTGCCGATAATCCCCGTCATAGTGTGGTTGGCCCGTGCACTGACCTCTCCAGCTCCCAAGAACAGGAATGTGTGGTCGGACAGCTTGGTGTCCAGCTTCCGCATGGCAGCGAGCAGGCCGGCCACCGCCACCGACGCCGTGCCCTGGATGTCGTCGTTGAACGTGCAGTACTTGTTGCGGTACTTATCCAGGAAGCGGAACGCGTTGTGGTTACCAAAGTCCTCGAACTGTCAGCAGAGATGATTTCGTCAGTGGAACACGGATATTCAATAGCATACGTTAACAGAACGTATTATCCGAAACAAGCTGACATGCATCGATAAGAAGGAAGGTTAAGTTTGTTGTGCGTTTTGCTGATTCTCGTGGAGATTTCCAAGCAGTTAATCCAGTTTATCCAGATTTTTTAGCGGAATCTGTATTGTGTGAACGATCCCTCGAACAGTTGATTCCCAGGTCATATCCCCAGCACTGAAATCACCTCGTTCGGGTCTCCCTGCGCTCACCTGAATCAGCGTCTTCTGTCCGTACCGTCTGACGGCGGCCTGCATGAACTCGTCGACAAACTCGTCGTAGGCCTCGCCCGTCACCCGGTTCTGCTTCAGGCCGATGTAGAACTCGTCATTCAGCAGATCCTGGGAAGGTGAAAAAATCATAACTGATCACTGAAGTCCTTTGGCGCTCTATGACCGATTCATTTGAGTCATCCTGACCAACGAGATAGTCTGGCTACTTGATTTACTAGGGTCGAACTGCATGCCATGAATTCACCTCTGATGAGGTAAAAATAGCTGGCTTTGCTGCTGCAGATACTAAATCCACTGACCTTGTTGTTGGTGCCGACGTCGAGTACGATCGGCAGGCACTGCTGTGGTTTGATGCCGGCCAGTGCAGTGTACAGGGAGAGCTTCCCCACCGGGATACCCATGCCCTGGGCACCCAGGTCTCCCAGGCCGAGGATGCGCTCTCCGTCCGTTACCACGATGGCACGCACGTCCTGCTCCGGCCTGGCGGTCAGACGAGTCAGACACTAAGGTCAGCTGAGGTCAGGTTATTCCTAAACTCTAACGACCGTAGGAGCATAGGCAAACTAGACAGTGGGCTAGCAGCACACCAAGGCCATGTCAGATCAGGTAAGAACTAAGGGCATGTTCATTCGGTGACATACACCGACCAAGTTACAAGTTCCAACTTTGCTCCACCAGTACCCCTCCATCCCATGAGAGACAGTCATGCTCCCTAGCCCGGTGCTGCTCATCAGTCGCGCTCAAGGCCAGGCTAAAAGCTCCGACTCTCTGTTCCACCAGTCCTTTCCTTACATCACGGACAGCCCAGCGCCGCTCACCAGTTGCGCATGACGTCGTAGATGTGTCCCTTGTCGTGGATGGTGATGAAAAGTCCTCGCGGCCGCCGGTAGATGAGGCCGAACTTCTGGCAGGCCAGGCCGACGGTAGGCGTGTACACGAGCGGCATCATCTGCTCCACGTTCTCCGAGAGAACCCGGTAGAACAGCCGTTCATTCCGGTCCTGAAGGAGACGAGAGGCCATTCCAGCGTCATACTTAAACAGCCAGTGGCCGGTCTCCTACAGAGAAAGGTTAATGATCTATTCTCACCTCATGCTCGATAGGAACATAAAATACAAAGTTCAAGGACGCCAAGGGCGTCCTAAGCCAAGGGCGAGTCATAAAACAGCAAACAGCGAGTCACTGAAGATGTGACCAATAACCGTTTCATGTCACACCCGAATTATTCGGTGTGAAAATAAACATAGGTGTCGGCCACCCAGAATTGTGTCCGGTCATAACCAGTATCATGTGTCCGACCAATTCCAAAATCGCAGCGCACAACCATCTGTACAATAAACGTGCGTGCACCAACAGCATAAGGCACTCTTGAAACTTTGCGTTGTAAGTGGTCGATCCATTTAGCTCTGCGATCACTACGCGCCGTACCTGCAGGCCCATCAGGTAGATGAACTTGTTGAGGTCCTCCTGGTAGCGGGAGATGTTCTTCAGGCACAGGTCGACCTGTTCGTCCTGTGTCTTGAAGCGGGGTGGCAGCAGGCCGTGGATGCCCAGCCTCTGGCGCTCCTCCAGCGTGAAGGCCATGCCCTGATGGTAAAGAGAAGGACAAGTCGCAGTAAGGGCGACGCGGGATGGCCGTAGTTTTCCAGCGGCGATCGGCGCAGTAGTAAGACAGATGTGTGCGATGGAACGTTTACACGTAGGGTCATGCAGCGCAATCTGCGCAAACGGAACGTAAATTACATAAGTGACCTTGTTACGAACATCGCATGCGGTACAACCGAGTGTCCTCCAGCAGTCCCTGTGGTCCTCCAGTGATCCCCAGCAGTCCCTGTGGTCCTCCAGTGATCCCCAGCAGTCCCTGTGGTCCTCTTATGATCCCCAGCAGTCCCTGTGCTCTTCCAGTGGCCCCCAGCGGTCCCCGTGGTCCTCCAATGGTCCTCAGAAGTCCCTGTGGTCCTTTTGTGCTCCTCAGCAGTCCCTGTGGTCTCCAAGTGGTCCCCAACAGTCGCTGTGGTCCTCCAGAGTTCCCCAGCGATTGGGGCGACATGCCGTGCTTGGAGCTCACCTTGTTGAGCCGCGTCTCTCGGACGTTGTCGATGCCTCGCACCATGTTGGGGCAGGGTTTGTCGGGGGCCGACTCCTGAACAGAGCGGCGCCCGGGCCGGTCGGCCAGCCGGCCCGACAGGGCTCCGGATAACACCCGGCTGCCGGCGGCCGGCCTGGAACAAGGAGCACAAGTCAGAACACAGAGAACACACGGAGGACACGTCAGACAGGGCGCCGGATTACATCCGGCTGCCGGCGGCCGCCCTGGAACACGGAGCACTCGTCAGAACACAGAGAACACACGGAGAACACGTCAGACAGGGCGCCGGATGACACCCGGCTGCCGGCGGCCGGCCTGGAACACGGAACACTCGTCAGGGCACAGAGAACACCCGGAAATACGCGTCAGAGAACAGAGAACACCCGGCTGACGGCGGCCGGCCTGGAACACGGAACACACGTCAGAGAACAGAGAACACACCGAGCACACGACAGAACACAGGGAACACCCGGCTGCCGGCGGCCGGCCTGGAACACAGAGCACACGTCAGAACACAGAGAACACACGGACGATACGGTCCCCAGGATGGCCTAGAGCATCGTTAAAGGTAGTGTGCCAGCTTTCTTGGACCGTCTGGAGTTAATGGCCCAGATAAGGAGAACCGGATTTTTAGAACTTATCCATACCTTCAAAACTCATGGAAACGTCTTAAATTCTTCAAATTTTGAGTACCCCAGTGCGAAATTCGCCCCGACGGGTTGTCGGTCGTACCCCAACCACATTTCACACCACTATGAACAATAAATGCACACACTGAAATCGCTATTACCGATATGCTCATCCAATCAAGTTTCGATAAACCCGTTCATCATCATCTCCTGCGGTTTCGAACACGCCTGTTAGGTGGCTTCTGATGCTCGTCGAGGTCGGAATTTCCAAATACGCGTGGTGCGTCGGGCCGCGCGCTCTGACTTCGGCCAAGAAAAATGCGTCAGCTGATCATTGTCATTTCTGCCACTTGCGTGTGGTGAAATGGGGTCATAACTTATAAGACGGCTTTTTCATATCAATTATTTTACATAAAATCATATTTCAAACCATAAATAATGTTCGACAGCCAAATAAAAGAAACAATACCAATACGGGCTTACAGTTTAAGGCTCGACATTGTGTTGTCTACGATTAGACAGCTGATAACTCATTCCCGTACGTCGTATGGTCGTAACACTATAATGACCTTTGCTTATTGTCACAAGTGCGCCGCATTCGCGATTGTTGCCCGACGCCTGTTTGCAGGTGAGCCCACTACAGTTGTTATACATATCTAAAAACCGAAAAACTTTTAGGCGAAAAAGGCACTATTCCAGGCCCATTTTTGATTTTTTTTTTGCGATATTAGGTAAAAACAGAAGCTTCTTATCCTAGGAAAAATAAAATGGGAAATCTTTCAAAGGTGGCACACTACCTTTAAAACTCAGAACACAGAGGGCACCCGGCTGTCGGCCTGCAGAGCACCACAGATTCGCCGCCCGGCAACCGTCTGAATAAGAGCGAAGGTTCATTTACAACAGTAGGCAGCTTGCCATAGCATATACACACTGAGAAAAAAATTGACTCCATATGGGTCAAAACTCTTGAAAATGCTCCCCTAAAAACTCCTTAAAACCATTGATAACTCCCTTTCCAGCAGAGTTATTGAGTGTGTTCTAGGGTAACTTCGAGCCTTCCTCATTTTGCGAAAGAGTTTTCAAGAGTTCTTAATGGATGGCGAAATGACTCCATGTGTGACACCCCATAACTCTGTGACGCAACTCTCCATTACTTCCGAAAAACCTTTCCCGAACGTTCCGACAGGAGTAAAAGGGAAGTTACGAAGGGGTTTTAGCATACGTCGCGAGGAGCTGCCGGTGGCCGCCATCTTTTGCGCGTAGTACACAGCACGTTGTGCGGGGCGGCGGGCGAGGTGTTAGTGAAGAGCGTGTTGACTTAGACGGACCTGACCTATATACAGTGACGGATAATTGGACCTTACTTTGGATTTAAAGGTAAGCTTAGCTGTATTTCTCATCATGCTTTTATAGTGCAAAGTGTTATAATGCTGTGATGAGAACATATGGTAACCCCATGTTCTTGATGGGCTGGAATGGTCTCTGTAAGGGTAATTGATTTGTATTGTTCCTGAGTGAAATAAAGATCGGAAACAGCATGCTCTGAGTTTCTAGGTATTGGCAAATATCATACATTATTTCCCTCGAATAAATTGGAAAGTTAGGATTACACAAGCTTTACACGTCATGGATTATATTGTTATTGCCCAATTATTTTAATATCTATACCAATGACAAATATCAAATTTGAAGGGCTTGCAAAGGAGAGCCAGAAAATAACGTCAGATCTTGGTCACGTCAGGTCGCGTATGTCTCGTCTCGTCCATCTTGTCTCATCTGCCTACCTCTCAGTCTCCTCCCTCATTTCTTCCTTCCATCTTTCCTCGCTTCCTTTCTCATCACTCCCTCTTTCCCTCCCCTCTCTCTCCCTTTCTTTCTCCCTCTATCCCTCCCTTCCTTCCTGTTTTCCTTCCTTCCTTCCTTCATCCCTCCCTCCTTCCCTCCCTTTCTCCTTCATTATTTCCCCTTCTTCTCTTTTTTTCTTTCTCCTCCATTTCCTCCCACGCAATGTTAAGTGTACCTATAATTTCGTGGTTATTAACATTTTTCAGGGGATGAGCTGGAGAGCCTGCAGCGCATCCCGCAAGACACGTCGGAAGCCAACGGAGGCCAGCAAAATATCCATCCCACAATCGTGAAAGGAGAGCCGAACGAAGAAGACGCAGTATTCGTCGAGGCCCAGGAGGTGGTAGGGTAGCGACACCACCAGACCAAGCATTCCTGCTGTGGTAGGCCGCCTTTTGGATTCTTAACATCAAAACTCGCGACCGTGAAGCATATGGAGTGAGATCCCCGGAGAGCGTGCCGTGGCGGGATGTCGAAAGCGTTTGTTAATTTTTTAAGCCTCCCACCGCCCCGGACTATGAATACACATTTCTTGAAATATATTTTTTATCTGTGCTTCGGTACACGAGCTTTGGGTGGTTACGCTATTCGTCCAATATTTATTTTCGGGGGGGGGGGAGGGGCTGGAGTGGAGTGATGGGAAGTTTGGATGAGTTTGATGGGGAGTAACAAGAGGTATACCATGAAGCTGTAAACGGAGTTTTGGGGAATCATGAAATGGAGTAATCGGGAGTAATTATGAGGCAGTAGGAGAGTCATTGAGAGTAATGGAAGGGAGTTTCAGGGAGTATGTTGTTTGTTTTGATAGGGTAAAGGAGAGTAATGAAGAGTTTTCTAAAACGGTAGGGAGAGTTACAGAGAGTTTCTCGAGGGAAGTTTTGGGGTGTAATGGAGAGTTTTAGAGGGGGTGTAATGAGGAGTACCACCTGGGAGTTTTGGGGTGTCGTTTTGGTGAACTCCCCCTGGGGGTGTCATGCGGAGTCAGGATTTTTCTCATATATATGTAAAAACATACCGTGAGCAGCACAGCCGTTCTTATAGGCCACCGAGTGACACTGGTCTGAAGGTGTTACTAGTCAGATATGAGAACCGGTCATGAGAAATATGTTCGGTGGGGTCACGGTATGTTCGAATATGGGGTCATTGGGTTCGATCTGTTTACGTCTTCTATTGGTGACAGAGTGCCTGTCTCCTACCATGTGTAAGCCATATCGAGTGTTTATTTTCCTTAGGTGGTGACGAAGGTTCCCATGCTGTCAAACGTGCGGAAAAAATATGCATTTAGTAGTACGGGACCGTGACAAAACAAATTAATAACTTTAATGAACTGCAAACAATTAATCAAACAAATGACGTTAATAATGTGAATGTAGGACCTGAGTACCGGCTAGCTACGTTCTCTGGAACCTACCTGGAAGGCAACATCATAAATCGACAGATACCTACCGGCCTTATTTTCACCAAAGATCCACCCACGTATAGGCCTGCATCGATAAAACCGGTACATTTTTTTCTGTCGCTGTGGGAATTTGTGCAATACATCTGAGTTGTCATGTTACTTCCAAGCAGGAGCTGATTTATCCGGCAAGGGTTAATAACTATCAAATATTTTTTCCTGCTTATCTGAAACTTCATTACGTGTCAATTTGTGAACCGATTTGTAAAAATGTTATAATCAGGAAAATCATATATTTGCTGACCTTTCTATCAGGCGTGTGAAAAAGTACAAAAATGGGCATTTGTGAGATATACCACACTTGCTACTGCCTTCGATGCCTTATGACCTATTGAAGTGGAAGACGAGAGGCGCTGGCATGTGCCTTTGTCTGGCACCGCTCTCCGTTCCGGCGGAGCGAGAGGCGGGAGGGGTGGACCGGCCAGTGGCTGTTGGGTCACAGGACCCTGGCAGCCGGCCCGGCCCCCCGATATACACCTGCCAGTGGCGCTGACAGGGTGCCAAGACGGTGACGGGCCCCGGCCGCGCCCCCTCCGAGCCCGCGACGACCTCACCGCCCCCGGCACCCGGGCATCCAACGCAGACACGACACAGGCGAGGCCGGGCTTGGTGAAGGCTCCAACCCGACCTCCCCACCCCCGGGAATCCAACCGCAGACGAGAAGCAGGCGAGGGCGAAAAGGTTCGACATCCCCTCCCCCTCTCCCCGCCTCTCGAGCATCCCACGCTGGCGAGACACAGACGAGGCCGGCATAGATGAAGGCTCCGTCTCGACCTGTCCACCACCGAGAATCAAACACAGGACTGGACACAGGCGAGGGCGAGGCAGTCAGGCTCAGCCTCCTCTCCATCCCACCCCCGCCTCAAGGCCTTCAACTCAGACGAGACGCAAGGGCGGGGGCTAGTGAAAACCTGGCTCCGACCTCCCCGACCCTGAACACCCAACGCAGACGAGGCCGGGCAGTCTGACACCCGACTTTCCCGACTCCGGACGGCGGACATCTACCGGTCTCAGACGGTTCTCGGCAGTAAACACTCCTGTCCTGCCCCTGAGCATCTATCGCACGGGACTAGACTATCCGGTCCCAACGTCCCCAGCTCTGGATATCCATTATCCACCGTATTCTTGGCGAGCCTCAGAAGCGCCTGCTCTTCCCCACCTCGACCGCTCTCGCACCTGGTAAATCACTACCGTACTGAAACGGTCTGGTCCCGCCTCCCACCTTCCCCAAACGTCCAAAGTAGAGACCGATGGTGGTACCGACTTCCCCAGCCCCAAACACCCACCAAACTAATAAGGCGCCTCGGTAGGGCCCGCTCGGTCTCACGTAGGGCACTCTCACACCTGGAAAAACACCACCGTACGAAACGGCCCAGCCTGCCCCGTCCCATCTCATCGTGCATACACCGTCACTCGTCGGTTTCAGATTGGACCCGTCCGGTTCCACCCCTCCCCGCCCATCCCCCGAACACACCCACTGCTTGTCCAGCCAGTGACACGTGAGCCCCCCCCCCCCCTCCACCGCTACCCCGCCTAGTCACGCGCCCGCATCCTACCCAGACAAACGCCTCAGGGCACTGAAAACGCCAGAGGTCATACGGCAAGGTTGGAGCCGGACACAGAGGTCACCGGTGAAGGTCATCCTACAATGACCAGCTTGTTGCTAACGGAAATAGCCTGACCACGGTTCGTCGTAAATTTGGGGTCTCGGTATAATAACGGCACTCGTCGGCATTTGATTACCAAGCCGGTTACGTAAAAACAGGTTGCAGCCTGGCCGTTGCAGGCTTGCAAAAACAAATGGCACTGCTTGAGGGCTGCTGCGCAGGACTACACCAATATATTGACCTCTGGCTAAGTCGCCAGACTGCGTAGGCCCGTGCAAACTTAGTTCAGCCGGCTCGGCGCCAGAAGTTGCTACAGCTAGCCCTGGTGTGTATGAAGGTGACTTTGGACGGCTGGACCCACCTGTTCAGGGACCGGCATCAGCTGAGACTACCCCCGTCAGCTGGGCCAATGCCGGCCCGCCCAGTGACCGTCCTATCCCATCAGGGTGGGGTCAGGTGTGGGATAGGGCACTGGGCAGAGCAGCGGATGCTTGGGTGCAATCCCAAACGTGCAGTCTACTCACAGGCCGGTGAGGCGGGCGGTCACTCCCAGCATTGCGGTGGACGGTGCGCGGTGGACGGCTGCTCCGCGCTGCCCGGCTCACAGTCGTGTGAGCGTCGGTCGATCGGCGCCCCTGCCAGCGCAGGCGCGCGCGCAGTCGCCACTCAAAATAGAGCACGCCGGAGCACGGTCGCGGCCACGGCGCCCGCTGCGCTGTAGCACCGGTAGACGCGCCCCCTCTGAGCGCGGCTGCAGTGCAGCTGCAGGGCCGGCGCGGCCGTCAGATGGGGTGCGCGCTGCGGCGTGATTATCAGCCGTTGTTGTCCGTCCGTCCGGCGCGCGGTGCACGGCAGGTGCCACCGGCTGGGTACTGCTACTGCAGGCCCGTCCGTAATCTCTCCGAGATGAGTGTCAATAAACCGGCCAGCTGACGGTGACGGCCGTGTTGATGGGCACTGGTAGGCTCCGCGGTGGCACCGTGAGGCTTCTGTGCTCCTGTCAATAGAGCCGGGAGGGGCACGTCACCTGACCGAACTGACCCAGTGGGTGAGGCTCGTTACCATTCGTTACGAGCGACAGTCTGAAAAGGACCGGGAGGAGTGATACTCGATACTCTGTATGTAGAGGCTAGAGAGACTCTTCTTCCGCACAAATACGCCCGCGAGTTTTTCATTGCTGTAGTAAAGGCAACGGTCAACGACTGTTGCTTTTATGTAAATATTCGAGTAAATTTGGAAGGTGACACAACCGGATAACAACTATTTTAAGAGGAATGAGGACTAAAGTTGACATATTGAACATTAACCCTCGCCGGCCGAGGGGGGGGGGGCGGGTGCCGCCCCCCCCCCATAGGGTTTTTTTGCGATAGCTCCGAACACGCTGGCGATAGCGAGCTGAAACTTGGCATACTTGACCTTTGATCCAAGCTGGATCTTATGACACCAACCGCATTTTTGGGTCAGGTCAGGTCACTGACCTATGACGTCATAAGTGAACCTCTGCACGGTCTTCAGATGTCGCAACTTCGCAACGCCCTCACTGCCAGAGGAGATGTCACAGGGAAATGAAACTTGCAGGATCTAGTATCCATTATGAGTCCAACAACTTGTATATCTCGGATTTTTCCTAAAGGTCATATGAGGTCAGGTCATTTTCGTGACCTCACCATTATAAGTCAATGGGGAAAAATTCAAACTGCTATTCTGGCGCCGGGAACGATCTCCAACTATGTCAAGCACACAGAATCGTGATTTGATGCACTCCTTGCAAGGTTAGATGCGTCACTTTTGCAATGTTGACCTTGCGTGACGTCATTTATGACGTCATCAAGGTCATATTAGTTTTTCGCCAATAACTCTTGATCAAATTGAGCTAGCGAGTCAGGAAAGCCACCAATGGACTCAGGAAGGCCTGCCGAATCGAATGATATGCGACATGACCTCTTTCGACCAACTTCGTGACCTGGGGGTGCTGACCTGACCTTGACCTGAGGTCAAAACCCCAAGTTGACCTGACCCGGACAAAAAGTATAACATTCGACGCGCCTGAGCGAGGCGAACACGATGCTGCCAAAATCGGCGCTCTGCGGCCGTTTTTTGCGAAGTTATTCACCAAAAACTGAATCGTACCCTGGGGCACTTGACCTGACCTCAGAGGTCACCGGTTGACCTAGGACCTTAAAATCGGGTACCAATCTCTGCGTCTCGTAACGGCGCACACGCTCGTTTTTTCCGCGACGCGCTAGCTCTACCAGGGGCGAAACGGCGAGGGGGGTCGTACCCGCCCCCCCCCCTCGGCCGGCGCGTATGTAGAAAACCAATAGGTCCGGCGAGGGTTAAACTAAGGTAACAACATTTATTTTGTCGGAAATTATCCTTGACAAAAGTTGCCATCATGAGTTCTATTCTCTTCGCCGAGATTATTCACGAGATGATAAAAAAGTTAAGATGAAAGCCTATCCAGTTTAGAGAAAATCTCAATAGAGTATGAAAACGTTTGTTTTAGAAACAACACATAAAAAACACTTACCAGAGCCGGCTTGACTTGGCTGTAAGCCTTTTAAGATTACTCTGCAGAGGATCACTTACCTACAGGATTCTTTAGTGCCCTGCCTACAGCGTGGTCGCTTTCGTGAAGGTAAATTAATTTTGGCTAGTGTAAACTACACAGTTCTCGCATAATAAGTCGGCAATAGGATAGTGGATTACGCCCGGAACCTTTCGAGCTGCCTAAGGAGCATCGACTCCGCTGGAAAATATGACCGAAATGGACCGTAAACCGAGCAAAATCAAGACGCGGCCGCCGGCCACTGGACCCGGCACCAAAATCGTATAGCCGACGAACGCAGACGAACGGACGTCCGTCTAGCCCAAGACAACCGACGATGCCAAGGCAGGTAGCGACACTGAGTGATTTGTTTACAGTCAGCTTCGATCCCGATGACGCAAATGTGTCGTCACGAGACAAAACAATATGGCCACCTCTAATGAGAACCAAGTGCAATAAGTTCCCGGATGTAGACAGCACTGACGTCACCGGGATCGAAACCGACGACATCAGTACTGGACCTATGGCGAAGCAAAGTAGTGACATCCCCCTTTGACGATGCCAGCTGAGCATTGGGCCAGCATGTCCAACAGCATTTGATTTTGGTGCCTTTTTCTAACGTGACAAGAACTTGTGCCGCTTCTTATTTACAGATGCCATGAGGCAATATAAAAAATGTTTTTCGACATCAATTCATCGTTTTCCGCTTTAGGTCATTTCAAGTCATTTCAAATCAAGTCAAGTACCTAAATCATTTTTCTCAGGATTGACGCACAACAGTAGGTATAGTCGCCTCAATGCGCATGCATTCCAATCACTCATGCGTTCCGGTTCAGTTCACAGATTGTTTTTATTCTACGCGATCTTAATCCCAAATGCAGATTTCACTTTAGAAAGCGTACACCGTACCTACCCGGCATTCAGTATTCGCAACAGCCTGCGCATGCCTCCACACCCCGCATCTAACATGTATCGCTGACGCTGTACCTAAATGTCAAAAATATATAAACACCTCCCTTATTATAATGCAGCTCGCAGACGTGGCGCCATAAGCTACCACTGACTTAGCCGGGAAACGTCTAAATTACATAACTCTCGGTAACGTATCCCGAGACCGAGCACCACACGCGATGAGCAGGTTCTCGCAGTTACGTCACAAGTCAGTAGTCACGTAACTCATAAGATGTACTTACTGATTAGTGATTGCCTACTTACCTTACTGAGACGGCACGGCCACGGACCCTGAACGGCCACGTCAGGTGCCACTGAGTGAGCCACGTAAAAAGCTTGGTTAATTAACCAGATTGATAAAAAATTAACTTTATGACTTTTTATGAGTTCCTGGACAGAAAATGTGCTTAAAAACTGCTGTCGATCAGATTCCTCTATAAAGGCACAGCTCGATTTACTTCCAGTATCTTTTAGATAAAAGAGAAGTCGCACCATTGACCAGACCTTAGGTCACTGATACAAAAAAAAATCCGGGAAACACGTGCTTTACATCCAGTCACATTATCAACCGTTGAAAGTGTCAAACGGTTGTTTGTTCGGTGTGCATATTACGTAGGGGAAAGTGGGGTAAGACGGTCAGGGTAGGTAAGACGGGCACCCCTTCTGCAGACCAAACCAATAGCGCTACGAGCAAGAAAAGTTAGGACCAGAATTGCCTTTCCCACTACACACCACCATTCAAGTCTGGTGAATTTGTGTTCAGTCGATAATCTTTTATTTTGATTTCTTTAAAACACTCATTTCATTGAAAACATCCATAATGTATTGTGCAAGCTTTTGTGTACAGCACTATAGAGTTAAAAACTCGCAATCACTTGTGGTACACTCATATGCCAACAGTGTTCATTTACCGCGGATTTGCTTTGTCTGCATCAAATTGTCCACAGCGAAAAATCGTGCTGAACTCCTGACATTGAGTTTGGGGTAAGACGGGCAACTATGAATCCAATGGGTCTGTAATGGTGAAAATATTTTTGTTGCTGTAGGAAAAAAGAAGCATTTCTAATAAGAATATGTTCGATTCCGATACTCACAGACATGTTAGCAATATTCCTTCGGCACAGTTTATTCTCGAATAATGAATGTGAAAAACGGTTCTACATGGCTTCTGAACTAGGGCCTATATAGGAGCATACGCCTTCTGCACGAATCTCGTATACTGCCATTTCCGAAGCACTTGAGACCAACGAGCGACTGTATAAATGCGGCTAATCTCGGGCATTTGTTGCGAGCTGTGCTGGACGGTGAAAGAAGCTGGCCGTCTTGCCCTACCCATGTGACCGTCTTACCCCATGGGGTGGGGTAAGACGGGTTTTTGCAAGGTTTTGCAAAAATAGCTGCAGTTTATTTGTTGAATCAGGTCTAAGTCTCATCTTCTGGCAAAAGAAAGTAAAATGTCTAAAAAAGGTTTTCACTCAGTTTCCCGTTTCTATGATGTTTCTAACCGGCCGAAAAATGGCTCCAAAGTTAAGGTGCCCGTCTTACCCCACTTTCCCCTAGCCATGGCGAGCATTTTTTTTCAAGGATATCTCACTTTGCGTGACCTGATGACTTGACCTTTAAGAAATGACCTTGGTTTGAAATCTTTTAAATGTGTGGAAAAGATGTGGGTGTTACAGGGAGTTTGAGAAATCCGTGAGTTTTCAAACTCCCTAGGGAATTTGCAAACTCCCTGACCCGTCAGTGAGTTTGCAAACTCACTAGGGAATTTACAAAGTCAATAGGGAGTTTGCAAACTCACTGACTGGTCAGGGAGTTTGGGAACTTTCAGAACGATTGGGACAAATAAAATCAAGTGTGTAAGATGAGGGTGGCGTACGTGCCGTCCGTGATGTTAAAACACAGGCGGCTAGTGGTACGGCCTAGCTAACCGTCGCACGGAGTTTGCAAACTCACGGATTTCTCAAACTCCCTGTAGCATAGGTACCATAAGTTTTGCGTTTTGGCCAACACGGCGACGGGAAGCTAGCACCGCCCTACGGAGAATTTGGGGTATTTGGGAGAATATCTCAGAGAATTCTCAGATGATATTTACTCGAGATAGTGTTCATTAATCGCCGTTAGTGGAAAAACTTAATCATAGAGCTAGCAGAAAACATTCCTCCTCTCCTCCCCTTCCCCTTCCGCCGCAGGTTAACCTGGCCGTGACGATTTACGGTTGGTTCAGAGCTCCATTCGCTAAATTGTTATTCGTTCTATGTATTTCTTTTTTGTCCCCCTCCCGCTTCTCTCTCTCTCTCTCTCTCTCTCTCTCTCTCTCTCTCTCTCTCTCTCTCTCTCTCTCTCTCTCTCTCTCTCTCTCTCTCTCTCTCTCTCTCTCTCTCTCTCTCTCTCTCTCTCTCTCTCTCTCTCTCTCTCTCTCTCTCTCTCTCTCTCTCTCTCTCTCTCTCTATTTTCTTTCTTCCTAGTTCCACTATGTCTCCATTTTTATCATTCCGGGCATTTGCAATGGTAACTCTGTGAATACAGTCATACTGAAAGCATCATATATGTATTTCTTCTAATAAATAAGAGACAAATGCATCAACACATGCACCAAATGAGACCATTCTACCAGCCGTAATGCCTAGAGCCCAGAGCACCTGCTGGGCTGCTGCGACCCTCCCTCGACTCCGAACACCGACACAGGAACATCAGACAGCCTGAGGAGCTGCACTACCCCTCCTCGACCCGTGGGCGCTCACTGATCGCGCGGCCACGGATCGTTGATGTGCGGCATCTGGCAGCACACGCCGTCACCAGTGCCGCCGTCCTTCAGCTCTGTGCACCGGTCGAGCGACACGGTCGGCTGCAGGGTGGGCTCCTCAGGCTCGAACAGCAGACCGCCGCGCACGAAGCCCGTGTACGGGTTGCACATGGCGATGGGGACGCAGACCAGTGAGGTGGAGCAGGTACGTGTCTGGTGACCCAGAGGACCCGAGCCGCCGCCGCCCGGGTGGCGGTTCAACAGCTGGCCGGACGCCAGAGGAACGGACGGCTGTCCGAGGTTAGAGCCGGTCTGTGAGACTGTGGTGGGAAGACCGCCCTGAGACGGCCCGAAGCCGGGCTGCTGGGGAGTCTGCTGGGAGACGAAGGTAGACTGCGGACCTGACGGCCCGAAGCCGGGCTGCTGGGGAGTCTGCTGGGAGACGAAGGGCTGCTGGGGGGTCTGCTGAGAAACGACGGTAGATTGCTGGCCAAGTCCAGGCTGCCGACCGGTCTGGCTTGAGATGAAAGTAGACTGCTGGCCTGACGGGGCAAGTCCGGGCTGCTGCTGAGGGGTCTGCTGAGAGATGAAAGTAGACTGCTGGCCTGACGGGGCAAGTCCAGGCTGCCGACCAGTCTGGCTTGAGATGAACGTAGACTGCTGGCCTGACGGGGCAAGTCCGGGCTGCCGACCGGTCTGGCTTGAGACAAAGGTGGACTGCGACCCCGAGGGACCGAATCCAGGCTGCTTCTGGGTCTGACTGGATACAAAAGTAGACTGCTGACCAGTGGGGTTGGATCCAAAACCAGTCAGTTGACCGCTGGGACCAGAGCCGGAACCGGTGCTGTGCTGGAAGCTCGTCTGCGAGCTACTGTCGCTGCTGCCCTGCTGGTAGTACTCACTGCTGGAGCTGGAGAAATGAAAGGAACTGGCTCCGTCCTGTCCACCGTTCAGGAACACGTTTGAGCTGTAGTCGGAGTTGATCGGCGCCTGTCCCACCGGCGCCTGTCCCACTGTCGCCTGTCCCACAGTCTGTGAGGACTGCGAGAAGCCGTTGCTCTCGAACTGGCCAGGGTTATCCAGGAACATGTTGCTGGGCCGCTGCAGGAGAGGTCCGTTCACAGACTGAGCCACGGCCGGCCTCTGGATGCCCGTCGCCGGCTGGCTAACGGCCGAGCTGCTCTCGTAGTAGCTCGACTGGGACTGCTCGTCAGAGGACAGTGAGACGACACCGGATGAGGACGGACCGGACACAGTTTGAGTGGACACGGACTGGCTAGGCAGGCCGGACGGAGCCGGGCCCGACTGGGAGGACTGGGAGATGACTGAAGAGCTGTGACTGCCGCCGGGCAGGACAGGCTGGACGCCACCGTGGACTGGGCCAGAAGCGACCGGCAGGGAGCCGGATGGCACGGCATCTCCGCAGCAGCCAGCGCCGTTCGACTGCTGGGAGAAGCTGCTGGTACTGTCCGACACCTGAGTGAAGCCGTCGTCGCCGACGTTGGACGCGATCGGCGCCTGAGACACCTCATTCAGCTGTGTGGGCGCCGAACCGAAGTCGGTCGTCGGCGTCTCGTAGAGTCCCGAAGGCGGCGGGATCTGATAGGCGGCGGCGGAGGCCACCAGGGCCACGAGAC